GGTCTTGAACTCCTGACCTCAAGTGATCCACCCACCTCGGCCCCCGAAAGTGCTGGGATTACAGGTGTGAGCCACCGTGCCCGGCCGTCACCCCCACTTTCTGGAAGCCGAAGCGGAGCATCTGGGATCAGCAGTGAGGCTGCCCCATGCACGCTTGATGGGACTGGCATTCATACCAGCTGGTCTCATGGTGCAGCTCAAACTCTGGCCATCTCTGGTTGAGCAGCACACGTAGTAGGCCACTCGCAGGCCTGACACTTTTGGCGTAAAAGTGAGGCCACTGGCTCCGCGGGGTAGGGAGGAGGAGGGCGGTGGAGCTTCTCTGCAGCAGTCATTGCAGAGGACACCATGTATGTCTTGGTGGCATCCTCAGGTCAGCGAGTCGGGTGTCCATCGGCCCCACGTGGCTGGCATCCATGGCCGGAGCAACGACGGAGCGTATTCCCTAGTCCTGGCGGGGGGCTACGAGGATGACGTGGTGAGTGTGTGCGTGGGAGGCATGGGGGAGGGTTGCTGTAGTTTTTTGGATGGTGGTAAAATACATACAACAAAATTTCCCATCCTAGCTTTTTGTTTTGTTTTGTTTTGTTTTGTTTTGTTTTTGAGACAGAGTCTGGCTCTGTCGCCCAGGCTGGAGTGCAGTGGCGCGATCTCGGCTCACTGCAAGCTCCGCCTCCCGGGTTCACGCCATTCTCCTGCCTCAGCCTCCCGAGTAGCTGGGGCTATAGGCGCCCGCCACCTCACCCGGCTAATTTTTTTGTATTTTTAGTAGAGACGAGGTTTCACCATGTTCGCCAGGATGGTCTCGATCTCCTGACCTTGTGATCCGCCCGCCTCGGCCTCCCAAAGTGCTGGGATTACAGGCGTGAGCCACCGCGCCCGGCCCATCCTAGCGTTTTTTAAACGCTCAGTTCCCAGTGGCATGAAGTATATTCCCACTGCTATGCAACCATCACCACCACCATCTCCAGAACTTTCTCATCTTCCCAACCTGAAACGTCATCTCCACGAAGCACTTGCTCCCCACCCCCTCCCAGTCCCTGGCACCCCCCAACCTGCTTCCTACCTCTGTGACGACTCTGGAGACCTCCTAGGAGTGGAATCACACAGCGCGTGTCCTTGCGTGCCTGGCTTCTCTCCTGAGCCCGACGTCCTTGCTTTGTCCATGTTGTCGCACGTGTCAGGGTTCCCCTTTCATTCACGGCCGAGTCCTATTCCGCTGTGTGGAGGGACCACGTTGTGTTGATCTGTCCATCCGTCCGTGGGCACTGGGGTTCCTTCCCCTTTCGACTGCTGTGAATAGATCTGCTATGAACATGGCTCTACGAGTATCTCCAGCCCCTGTTTTCCATTCTTTTGGGTGTATATCCAGAGGTGGAATTCAAGGGTCCTGTGATAATTCTATGTTGAGTATTTTTCTTTTTTACTGTTCCCGCCTGGTCCTCTTGTTGCCCGGAAAAGATCTCGACCACCACTACCCTGTGTATGTGAAAAAAATTCCCCATGTCCTGGAAACAGATAAGACGGCCTGGGGTGGAACCCTCTGAGAGGCCAAAAAGAGGACTGCATTGAAG